AGACAGGGTTTCTCTGTGGCTTTGGAGCCTGTCCTGGAACTAGCTCTGTAGGCCAGGCTGGTCTCGAACTCACAAAGATCCGCCTGCCTCTGCCTCCCGAGTGCTGGGATTAAAGGCGTACGCCACCACCGCCCGGCCCGGCCATTTTTTTTGACTAGATTTAATGTAGTGATTTTTTTCTTTTTAATATTTATTTATTTATTATGTATACAATATTCTGTCTGTGTGTATGTCTGCAAGCCAGAAGAGGGCACCAGACCTCATCCCAGATGGCTGTGAGCCACCATGTGGTTGCCGGGAACTGAACTCAGGACCTTTGGAAGAGCAGGCAATGCTCTCAACCGCTGAGCCATCTCTCCAGCCCCTGTAGTGATGATTTTCCTTATTCCTAATCTCTCTTTCCCACCACGCACTGGGACCCTTCATTGGCCTATCAAAATTTGTAGCCAAAGAGGAAAGTCCTTGGCTGGGCGGTGGTGGCGCAGGCCTTCAATCCCAGCACTAGGGAGGCAGAGGTAGGTATATATCTGTGAGTTCGAGGCCAGCCTGATCTACAGAGCTAGTTCTATTACATAAATTAAATAAATAAATAAAATAAATTTGCCAGGTGCGGTGGCATTATCACCATATCCTTAATCCCAGCACTCCCAAAGTAGAGACAGTGTTCTAGGACAGCCAAGACTACACAAAGAACCCATTTAGAAAAAAAAAAAAACCAAACGAAAAAGAATATCCTTATGTCTTTTCTAGTTAATTCTCCAGTCTCCTCTGGCACTTCCTTCTCTCTCGTTATTTGCCAGTCATGGGATCCTATCAGTCCTTACCAGTGCCAGCCTCTTCCTCGTTTAGGGTCTTGGCACACATTGTCCCCGCACTAGCTGCTAGCTTCCTTCCTTGTCTGGTCCTTCAGGTCTGGGCTAAAGCTCAGCCTCCAGTGAGAGTCCCATGCTCTTCTGAGGAGGTCATTTGCCTGCACTTCCTCACTGTACTTTGCTCAGTTATAACTGAGTCTCTTTGAATAACCATTTGCATGGTCTCAATTTCATTAACTAGCCTATAAACTCCATGGGAAAGTGACCCGGGAGCCTTTCTCTAGTGTACTGCCTAGCCCTCCAGATGCTGTGAAAAAGCTCCATGGAAGAGCTGAAACTAGAACCTAAAGCACCTAGAGTTCCTCTCTCCAAGCTCAGAAAGACTGTAGCCCACTACAGACTTCCCTGTGATTGGAGGCCCTTCAGTTTGGAATGTTCTGTTTATTCAGGAGCCTGTGAAAGCCTGTCTTGTAAACTAACCCAAGGTTAGCATTACCTTACCCCTCCCAGGAGGAGATTTTAGCATTTAACTGGGGACTCCAGCAGAAAAGGTGATCTCACAGGAGCTAATCAAAACTTCCAGTACCTTGAAGACACTGTTAGAAGCCCCTCCCCATCTCTTAATGAGATCTCTTGGAAGGAACCTACAGGGGACCAGACATTTTCTAATGCTTGCAGTTTTTCTTTACCTTTGGTTTTGTGACAGAGTTGTTGGGCAGGTGATATTAGTCTCTGTCTTAAAGGAGGGAGCCTGAGACAGGTGTACTAACTTCACAGCATTGTACTTGGGCCAGGGAGACCAATATTTAGATTCTCTTGCTCTCAGGATATGACTCCTGCTTTAATTCCTTTTACAAAACCATGCTGCCTCCAAGTGTAGGCAACTGCTGATACAGCTTATATATAAACCTGGGCCGTGGGGTTAACTGGCTGACTTTCTTTAATAAAAAGCCTCACTAGGCTTCTCTCATTCCCTTCCTGAGAAACCCTGTCTCAAAAAAACCAACCCCCCCAACTGTATTGCTCATAGGTTTAATTTTTGCAACAACAAAGGCTATTATTAAAAATCCCTGCATAGAATGAGATTTTTTTTGATTTAAAATGTTTTTGCCAGCTGGGCATGGTGGTGTATGCTTTTGATAACCAACATTCAGGAGGGAGAGGCAGGCAGATTTATGAATTCAAGGCAAGCCTGGCCTACCTAGTGAATTCCACAACAGCTAGAGACTTTGTGTGTGTGTCTAGGCAGAGGTTTCTCTGTAGTTTTGGAGCCTGTTCTGGTACTAGATCTTGTAGACCAGGCTGGACTCGAACTCACAGAGATGCACCTGCCTCAGCCTTCCGAGTACTGGAATTCACCGACTGACTCAGCTAGGGACTTTGTAGAAGCAGCCTGTCTGAAACAAACAAACACACCCCTTCAACAAAACAAATAACAACAAAATGTCTTTGTGCATCCTTTGGATCTCCTCCAGATCTTGGATCCTGAATACATGATTTCTTTTTGAGCGGTTGAAGGATGATATTATGTTCTTCTTTGTTTCAAAAGCAGGGCTTCGTTTAATAGCTTGGCAACTCTGGGCAGAATAGTTAATCTTGGTTTTCCCAGTTGTAACAGGGCCAACTGCTAGCCACTCTGAACTTGTTGAAAGTCTTGTGTGTTGGAAAACACTCGCTGACAAAGCCCCGCACACAGCAGGTCCTGGAATAAAGTTCATTTTCCTGTCGTCGGATGGAGGCTATTTCCTCTTAAAGCCCCGCAGGACGTCTATAGGTGCATCTTACTCTGTGGAAGTGTGTGCGACATGTGCGGACACGCATGAGGTGTCTTTTTCTTGGAAATAAAGCCCAGAGTTTACTGGATTATTTTAGGGTTAGTGACGTCTCTGCAAAGTGATTGCATATATTTCTCCCTCAAAAGCCAAAGGGGTGAATGTGTTTTGCGGAGGGCAATGGGCGCCGGTTTTTTTGTTTTTTAAATACTTAGTAGATGTATTGCTCCTGAGAGCTCTTTGCAAGTCCCTGAGGAAGGACGATGACAGTACTCCTAGGGAAGGTGTCTCCAGGGTCGACCTCCAGGAAGTTTTCCCCGTGAACTCTCAGGACCTTTTCAAATTGGAGAAGAGTTGTCCAATGCAGTTCCGAACTAGGGTTCAAGTCTCGCGTGCACAGACGCCTGTGCATCATTAAGAACCAGAACTTTTGCATGTTTTCTTAAGACATAGCCATTTCTCTCTAGGCATTTGCCAAAATCTGCAGTCGCGACCCTGGCCACCCAGCGCTCCTAGGCCCAAAGCCGCGGCGGTGGGGGCGGGGGGAGGGGGGGGGAGACCTCGCGCGCGCGCCGCTTCCGCTCCTCCGGGCCGCCAGAGGGCGCCACGGGCACGGCTCAGCCTTCCCGAGGTGCTCCGCGCCGGCTCCCTTCCGCGTGGGTGAGTGAATGTGAGAGTCAGCGCTCGCGCCGCGCGCGCAGCTCGTCTCTGCTGCTCGGCGCCCATAGTCCGGCTGCGAGGGGCGGGCGCGCGCGTAAAAGCATAGAGACGGGCGTTGAGCTGCCCGCCTAGAGCGTCGCCGAGTCGGAGCCGGAGCCCGAGCCGCGCGCTGTGTCTCCGCTGCGTCCGCCGAGGCTCCGAGTGTCAGGGACAAAAGCCGCCGCCGCACCCTCTGCTCCCGCCGCCGGGGCTCATCCGCCGCTGCCGCCGTCCTGAGGAGGAGTCCGCTGCCGTCGTCCCCAGTGAGGATCCGAGAGCCATGTCGGCCAGCAGCCTCTTGGAGCAGGTACAGGCCCAGCCCGCATGTCTCGGCCATTGTGTGAGTCGAGACGGAGCCCGACTAGGCCCGGGCCCGCCGCTCCGGGCCGGGCCGCGGCGGCGCCTCTCGCGGCTTGGGATTCCGGCCTGAAGCCGGCCGCGCCCTACGCCTCCCGGTCTGGCCCGCTCTTCCCGCTCCTCCCCGGACCTCGGCGGCCGGGTGGCCGCGCCGCGCCGCTCCGCGCTCCCTCCCCACGGCGGCCCGGGCTTCCCTTCCTCGTTTCCTTCTCCTTCCCTCGTGTCGCTGGCGGCCCGGGCCGGGTGACCCGGCGGCCCAGCGCGTTTCCCCGCCTCCCCCTCACCACGCGTCCCCTCAGGCCTGCTCCCTTTCTTCCCCCCCCCCTCCTCGGGTCCAGCTCTCATTAGTCTTTTTCCCCTTTCCGTTTTCTTCCCGGACGACTTGCTGCTCGGCGACGTCCCCTCCTCCCGCAGAGACCTAAAGGTCAAGGAAACAAAGGTAAGCCGCGGTCCGCCGGTGGCCGCCGGCCGGGCGTGGGGGGGGGGCACGCCGGACAGCGGGGGCGGGGTCTCGGGGACGCGCCCCGGGGAAAGGACCTTTCCGAAGCCGCTCGGTTCGCAGGTGCCTCGCGCGGGGCGCTCGACCCTTTTGGTGTGCTCCTGCAGCTGGCGAGCAGCTTTTTCGTTAACAACGAGTAATTCATGAGCGGGTGGGGGTGGAAGGCGCTTTGCAAAGCCCCAGGTCCTTAGTTTCCCGTAGGTCTTAGGAGGCCTTTGTTTTCCCTCCTCGCCGATCACTTTCTGGAAGTAACTTAGATGTGGCGGGGCGTGGAGGGGGGGGCGGCGGAGGGAATTGAAATTCGGAGGCGCCAATAAACCGACCTTTTAAAAAGAACAGCTTGCTCTGTAGTGGAGAGAGTCGGGCTTTTTTTTTTCTTTTTGTTTTATGTTTTTTATTTCCCCCACTGGGGAATCTCGCTTCAGCCTTAGCGCTCACCGTTATCCCTGAGAGCTTGGTTGGTGGCTCTGCACTAGCGTGGTTTCTTCCTGGTGAGGGTGTGATTGATGAGTTTGGGGGAGCTTGTCGGACCAGGACATTCCTAATCTGACTTTTCCCTTCTAGTACAAAATGGATCTGTGCATCAAAAGGATGGACTGAACGACGATGACTTCGAACCTTACTTGAGTCCACAGGCAAGGCCCGTGAGTAGCTGATCATTTTCCATTATCTGTTAGACTTTTCTGCCCTATCAGTCAGTCTCACTTTTGTGTAGGAGGGGGTTTACTTTTAATACTTAATAACTTGTTATAAACCGTTTATTACAAACGTTATAAGCTGTGTGGTCAACAAAATATGTGCTCTGAGACCATATTACTGATAACAGGTCGCAGTGTAAGTGCAGTGATACTGACCCGAGTAATTAATTGTCCCTCATTTACCAGGAATATATCAGTGCCAAAATTAGGAATATTGGCTAGTGGTTAATGTTCTGACTGCGCTGAAGGAAACAAAACCTTGTCTTTTGGGAAAATTGGGTTACCAGTGTAGTGAGGAGATCCTAGTGTGTAATCACATGTGAACTTCAGCGATAATCGCTGGTCTCTAGTGAACTCTTCATGTAATAAAATTGTTTCGAAGTGAGACAAAGTGGGATGCTTGCTCTTTGATTTGCACTAATTTAGTATTTCTAGAGAACAGCTTTGTATACCTCTTGTGGCTGATGTAGTTATGAAATGAAGTTACAGTTAGAACACTTTAGCACAGTTGATGGAGCCTGTTCTGGAACTAGCTCTTCTAGACCAGGCTGGCCTTGAAGTCACAGAGATCCTCTGCTTCCCCAGTGCTGGGATTAAAGGCGTGCACCACCATTGCCCAACCTTACATAAAATTTTTGAGATAACCTATCTAAACATTTTCACAGTGAGTACAAAAACCATCTAGGGTAGTGGTTCTCAACCTTACTTTAATACACAGTTCCTCATATTTTGGACCCCCCCCCCATAAAGTTATTTTTCTTGCTGCTTCATAACTAATTTTGCTGCTGTTGTGAATTGTAAATATCTGATAATCAGTAGATAATGGGACCTCCCCCAAGGGTCGAGACTCACAGATTGAGAACTGCTGATCTAGGAAGTGACTGGAAAAAGTTTCCACAGAGGACAACCAGCTAATCAGGAAAGTCAGGGAAGGAAGTAGAGGAATGAACTATTAATAGCTACTGTTAATAAAGTAGTTTGCTTTCCTAATAACTGTAACAGAGAGTGGGAACATTTAGAATCAATGTATGTATGTATGCATGCATGGGAGGCGGGGCGTGGTTTTGAGACAGTTTTTCTTCTCTGTCCTGGCTGCCCTGGAACTCACTCTGTAGACCAGGCTGGCTTCGAACTCAGAGACCCACCTGCAGACTCTGCCTCCCTAGTGCTGGGATTAAAGGCATGCGCTAGCACTGCCTGGCTAGAATCAGTTCTAGGTAGTACTTGTAAAGTATTGTGTAATTCAGATTTTTGAGCTCTATGGCATGTGGGGACTTGACATTACAGGTATAGACTTTCATCTGTCTTGGCATAATCCATGCTAGTAAGAATGGTTTCTTCTTTGAGAAGTAAGCTGGAAGCTTAAGTAGTGGTTTTTTGTTTTTCTTTTCTTTTTTTTTTTTTTTGGTGGTCTAATCAAGAGTAATTCATAGAACTGGGAATGATCTCTTCTTGCCTTTCATTCCAGGACTAGGGAGACAGAGGCAAGTGGATCTCTGAGTTTGAGGCCAGCCTGGTCTATATAGAGAGTTGTAGGACAGCCAGGACTATTACACAGAGGTTTAAACCCTGTCTTAAAAAAACAAAAGAAGGCAGGGCGAGGTACAGGTTAAGCAGGGCGGTGGTGGCGCAGGCCTTTAATCACAGCACTTGGGAGGCAGAGGCAGGTGGATCTCTGTGAGTTTGAGACCAGCCTGGTCTACAGAGCTAGTTCCAGGACGGGCTCCAAAGCCACAGAGAAACCCTGTTTCGAAAAACCAAAAAAAAAAAAAGAATTCTATGCCAGTCATGACTACATGCATAGTAATACTGTCTCAAAAAAAAAAAGTAATTTATGGGTTTTGTTATTGTTCTTTTTTAATGTGTGTGACGTGCTTAACACAGGGCCTTATGTATACTAATTCATGTAATTTTTTTCCCCCACCCCCGCCAGTGTTTCTCTGTGTAGCTCTGACTGTTCTGGAACTCTACCTAGACCAGGTTGGCCTCGAACTCTCAGATCCACCTGCCTTTTGCCTCCTGAATGCTGAGATTAAAGGCGTGAGCCACCACTGCCTAATTCATGTAATTTTTAGCTGTTTGTTTCTCCCTTCCCTTCCTCTCTCCCTCTCTCTTTCCCTCCATTCCTCTCTCCTTTTTTTTTTTTTTTGGTAGTCTCTTTATGTAGTTTTGAGTAGCTTCACACTCCCTGAGATCTGTCTGCCTCTGTCTTCTGAGTACTGGGATTAAAGGTATAAGGCACCATGCCTGACCTTACCAAACTCCAATTAGCTGAAAATTTTATTATGTAGATGTGTTTAGTGGCTAGAGAATACTGTTTATGCTGTTTCTGGCCTTGGCAATACAAGTCTAAGTCCTAAGGTGCTTGCTGTTTTCCAAGTCTCTTCAGGATAGCTACCTATTGGTATCTATACCAATAATGAGTGCCTTATTAGAACTATTACAACTAAGACAGACTATGAATTGAACTATGTGTTTATGGAGATCAATTTTTTATGTACCTCTTGCTTTTCACTTGAGGTTATTCTGTGTGCTGTAGGGTTCATTTAATTTAATTTTGAGATAAGTTCTTATAGTGTTGCACTGTCTGACCTGGTATGTGTATGTTGACCAGGTTGGCTTCCAGTTGACAGAAATTCTCCTGCCTCTGCCTCCCTAGTGCTGGAATGAAAGGTGTACATCACCATGCCCAGCAGTGCTGTAGGTTTTTTATGCAAAAATCACAAACTAAGAGGAAGACTTGCACAATACCATCTATTTCTGTGATTTAAAGAGTAATTGTGCGTGATTTCATATTTCTGATTATTTAAGGTTATAGACTTATGTCATATTTTTCTACTTCTAATGCTAAAGGTATAATACTAAGTTCAAATGATTGCCATTCATTTGGTAGATGATATTAAACAGGAAGTACTCCCTCTACTCCCCACCCTTCCATATTTAAGTTCTTTGGAGATCACTGTTTTCACTCTAGGTTATTATAAAGTTTATATAGTGAACATTGTTAGTTTATGAGGGAAGAATGCTTGAACAGACAATTGGAATAGAACTTGAAATTTGTAAGTTTTTTGAACCCCTTCCAAAATTTTCTTACACACCCACACTGACTAAATAAATAGCTGGACATGTATGTGCTACTCTACAGATGTGGAGGGCAGAGAACAATTTGTAGGAGTTGACTCTCTGTCCTCCATGTATCAGGGCCCTACCTCAGGTTCTTGACCGGATTACTCACTGAGCCATCTTGCCACGTTTTGTTTTGTTTTCTTCTTTTTTTTTTTTAAACATTTATGTGGGTGTGGGCCTACACAGCCTATATTTGGAGGTCAGAGGGGAACTTGATGGTGTCAGTTCTTATCACCTTATGGTGCTCGTGATTAAACTCAGGTCATCAAGCATGGTGTCAAACACCTTTACTCCTTGAGCCATCTTTTGGCCCTCATAGGATTTATTAATTTTATTTTGACTTTTTTTTCTTCACGAGACTGGGTTTCTCTGTAACTTTGGAGCCTGTCCTGGAACTAGCTCTTGTAGACCAGACTGGCCTCGAACTCACGGAGATCCACCTGCCTCTGCCTCCCGAGTGCTGGGGTTAAAGGCATGCATCATCACGGCCTGGCTTGGCCTATGTTTTGTTCTGTGTGTATTGTATGGTATGTACAGTGAATTTGTGCCTGGTGCCTGTGGAGGTCAGAAGAGGACATCAGATTCCCTGGAACTGGGTTACAGATGGTTGTGAGCCACTCCATGGGTGAACCCAAGTGCTTTTAACAATTGAGCCATCTTTTCAGTCCCTACTTTTTTTTTTCCTTATTGGACATAGAATCTGTGTTTGTTAGGTCTTAAACTCAATTTATAGCTAAGCTCTTGATTTCTACCTTCATACCTCATAGTCACCGCTTACTAGGCTTACAAGAGTGTGCCGCCATGAAGTCTGGCTCTTTGCTGGGAAGCTCTTGAACACTGATCCTCCATAATTCCCAATTTTCAAATCTAAAATGAATTAGTTTTAATAAAGACATCATCTCCACTGGGCCTGAATTGGCAGGAATTAGAAGTAAGCCATAGTTCCACACCTCTCTGGGATATGGAGCAAGACCCTTTAATTCTAGCTCTTGGGAGGCAGAGCAGGGGGATCTGTGGGAGTTCAAGGCTGACTTGGTTTAAGCCAGCCCGAGCTACATAGTGAGAGCCTGTCTAAAAGTAACAACTGCCCAGGCATGACAGGGTGTGCTTTTTGGGGGGGGGGCAATGGTGGGGGTATGTATGGGTGATTTGCCTGCATGTATGTTATGTTCCACGTGTGTGCTTTGTTCACGGAAGGCATCAGATCTCTTGGGCCTGGAGTAACTTACAGATGGCTGTTAGCTGCCATGCGTGTGCTGGGAACCAAACCTGAATCTTCTGAGGTTCTGCAAAAGGTTTTAACTGTCCAAGCCTAGTGGTACACACCTTTAAATCCCAGCACACTGAATTCTAGGCCAGCCTGGTCTACATAGCAAATTCTAAGACAGCCACAGCTACATAGACTCTTTGTCTCCAAAACAGTGACAACAAAAATCTCTATTTACTGTTTGTATCAGCTTAGCTTTTTTTTTTTTTTTCTCGAGACAGGGTTTCTCTGTGGTTTTGGAGCCTGTCCTGGAACAAGCTCTTGTAGCCCAGGCTGGTCTCGAACTCACAGAGATCTGCCTGCTTCTGCCTCCCGAGTGCTGGGATTAAAGGCATGCACCACCACCGCCCGGCTATATGTATCAGCTTAGCTTTACTTGCTTACACAGGACCTTTAGGTATGGTTTGACGTGCCTTTATTAACCCCAGCACTTAGAATCTGAGGCAGGAAGATTGCCTTAAGTTTGAGGCCAGCAACCAAAAAAGATTTAAGCAGCTGTCACATCAAAATTTCATATTGTTCAAAAATGCCAGGAAGTTTACAGAAAGGTGAATGGACTATTTCCTTTTGTGGTGATGGCTCAGATACTTGAGTTGTGATTGTGGAAGGAATGTCCTGTTATTTATGTTGTTTTGATGTATTTGCCTTTTCTTCCACAGAATAATGCATATACTGCCATGTCAGACTCCTATTTACCCAGTTATTACAGCCCTTCCATTGGCTTTTCCTATTCTTTGGGTGAAGCTGCTTGGTCTACTGGAGGTGACACAGCCGTGCCCTATCTAACTTCTTACGGACAACTGAGCAACGGAGAGCCCCACTTCCTACCAGATGCAATGTTTGGGCAACCAGGAGCCCTAGGTAGCACTCCATTTCTTGGTCAGCATGGTTTTAATTTTTTTCCCAGTGGGATCGACTTCTCAGCATGGGGAAATAACAGTTCTCAGGGACAGTCTACTCAAAGCTCTGGATATAATAACAATTATGCTTATGCACCCAGCTCCTTAGGTGGAGCCATGATTGATGGACAGTCAGCTTTTGCCAATGAGACCCTCAATAAAGCTCCTGGCATGAATACTATAGACCAAGGGATGGCAGCACTGAAACTGGGCAGCACAGAAGTTGCAAGCAGTGTTCCAAAAGTTGTAGGCTCTGCTGTTGGTAGTGGTTCCATCACTAGTAACATCGTGGCTTCTAGCAGTTTGCCTCCAGCTACTATTGCTCCTCCAAAACCAGCATCTTGGGCTGATATTGCTAGCAAGCCTGCAAAACAGCAACCTAAACTGAAGACCAAGAATGGCATTGCAGGATCAAGTCTTCCACCACCCCCAATAAAGCATAACATGGATATTGGAACTTGGGATAACAAGGGTCCCGTGGCAAAAGCTCCCTCACAGGCTTTGGTTCAAAATATAGGTCAGCCAACCCAGGGGTCTCCTCAGCCTGTAGGACAGCAGGCCAATAATAGCCCACCAGTGGCTCAGACATCAGTAGGGCAACAGACGCAGCCATTGCCTCCGCCTCCACCACAGCCTGCCCAGCTCTCAGTCCAGCAACAGGCAGCTCAGCCAACTCGCTGGGTAGCACCTCGGAACCGTGGCAATGGGTTCGGTCATAATGGGGTGGATGGTAATGGAGTAGGACAGTCTCAGGCAGGTTCTGGATCTACTCCTTCAGAGCCTCACCCAGTATTGGAGAAGCTTCGATCCATCAATAACTATAACCCTAAAGATTTCGACTGGAATCTGAAACATGGCCGGGTTTTCATCATTAAGAGCTACTCAGAGGACGATATCCACCGTTCCATTAAGTATAATATCTGGTGCAGCACGGAGCACGGGAACAAGAGACTGGATGCTGCGTATCGTTCCATGAACGGGAAAGGTCCCGTTTACTTACTTTTCAGTGTCAACGGCAGTGGACACTTCTGTGGAGTTGCAGAGATGAAATCTGCTGTGGACTACAACACATGTGCAGGTGTGTGGTCCCAGGACAAATGGAAGGGTCGTTTTGATGTCAGATGGATTTTTGTGAAGGACGTTCCCAATAGCCAACTGCGACACATTCGTCTAGAGAACAACGAGAATAAACCAGTGACCAACTCTAGGGACACTCAGGAAGTGCCTCTGGAAAAAGCTAAGCAGGTGTTGAAAATCATAGCCAGCTACAAGCACACCACTTCCATTTTTGATGACTTCTCACACTATGAGAAACGCCAAGAGGAAGAAGAAAGTGTTAAAAAGGTAACCATCTTAATCAGACAATTGGGAAGGAGGTCTTAGAGAGGATAAGAAAGCTATTGCAGTGAGTGAATGGTTAATAAAAGCTCTGTAAATAATGGTGTCATTTAGCAGCTCAAGGCTTTATGGGAGGATAATTGGTCTTTTGAACCCTAGTGTGAAGGAATGTGAGCTTTAGTGGAGAGCAAAAACAGTACGGTTTGAACTGAACTGGTATAGACAGATGATTGTAAAGCTGCAAGAGGGAAAACTGAAGTGAAAGGAGAGGGTGGTGGGTATAACGTACGGGAAAATATGAATGCTCTTTGGACTTAGTCTTTGCCTTTGGTAGTTTTGTGTTATTTTCAAGACTTGGTATGTTACCGCCTTGAAATCTCTGCTTCTGACAGTCGATTTTATTGTTTGTTAGAACTTTGCTTTACTCTTTATAGTGTCCACTTTATTGTTTTTTTTTCAGTGATGGGAATTGAAACTAGGATATGCTAGGCAAGCCCTCTGTCCCTGTGCCACATGCCCGGCCACTGGAAAGTTATCATACGTAAAACTTTATTATATGAAACTTTAAAACAGCAGTAAAAAGGTTGGGAAAACAACTGATTGGTTGCTGTTCTTTTTCTTTTTTTGGTTTTTCAAGACAGGGTTTCTCTGTGTAATAGCCCTAGCTGTCCTGAAACTAGCTCTTGTTGACCTGGTTGGTTTTGAGCTCACAGAGATCCACCTGCCACTGCTGGGATTAAAGGTGTGCACCACAGCCGCCCAGCTGCAGTTGCTGTTCTTGCAGAGGACTTGAGTACAATCCTATTACCCACAGGGTGGGTGGCTTGCAACCACTCATAACCCAGTACCAGGGGAACCGACAGACATGCAAGTCCACCACATGTGTTCATGTAGAACATTCATGACCCCCCCCCCAAAAAAAACCCCCAAAACCTGAACATTAGAAAACCTCTTAGTTCTTACATTTTATTACTCAGTCACTTTCTCTTGATTTTTCTGTATAAAGTGGAAAGAGTGATAGACAAAGGATCCAAACTAGAGTGATTTGTTAGAAATAGTGTTTGCTCTGAAGGTATTAGGTATATGAAATTTTAGGACCATCGGTGAGGGGGAGTGTTTGCTTTTATTAAAATTTACTTTTTTTTTTTTTTTAAAGATTTATTTATTATGCAATGTTCAGCCTCCATGTATGTCTGCAGGCCAGAAGAGGGCACCAGATCTCATTACAGATGGTTGTGAGCCACCATGTGGTTGCTGGGAATTGAACTCAGGACCTCCGGAAGAGCAGTCAGTGTTCTTAACCTCTGAGCCATCTCTCCAGCCCATATATTTGTTTTTATATGGGGCTGAGTATATTCATGTGTACCACATGTAGAGACCAGAAGAGGATGTTAGGTGTTCTAGAATTGGAGTTACAGGTGGTTATAACTCTGCCATGTTGGTGCTAGAAATTGAACCCAGGTCTTTGAGAACAGCTAGTGATCTTGACCACTGAACTGTCTTTCCACCTTTTTACTACTTACTCATATTTTATTAATTGTGTATAGGTGTTTTGTCTACATGGGTGCCTGTGTAGTATATGCAGGCCTGGTACACACAGAAACCACATGAGGGTTTCAAATCCCATGAAGCTGGAGTTTTTGTTGAGTTATGCTTACTTAATTTTTGTTCTGCTAGTGATTGAATTGAATCTGGGGTGGACTTGTATTTTTATTTTTTAATTTATACCAGTCCTCTGGATGGAATGAGGTCCTTGAACATGCTAGGGAAACAGTCTGTCTCAGGCTGGACTTGAACTCACAGAGATCTCTTTGCCTCTGATGGGATTAAAGATGTTCACCATCAATCCCAGTGCTTGAAGCTAATTTTTAAAAAATATTTTAGTTTTTTTCTAAGCTTTTAGATTTATCTTTTATGCTTTTGTATGTCTATGTATAGATGGTTGTGAGCTGCTGTGTGGGTGCTGGGACTTGAACCCTGATCCTCTGTAAGAACAAGTGCACTCCCATCCAGCCCTGCTTAGCTTCCGAGATCGGGCGCATTCAAGGTGGTATGGCTCCAAAGCTAAAGAGAAACCTGTCTCGAAAAACCAAAGCAAAAAATAAAAAACAAGTGCTCTTTAACTGCTCAGTCATCTCACTAGCCTCAATAAATATGTAGCCCAGACTGACCGTGGACATTAAGTGTAAGATTCTTAGACTTGACTATTCTTTTACTGTTTTCCTAGAATGAATGCAGTAATGAAGGTTGTCAAATAGTGTCTGGGGTTAGCAGTGTAACTCTGGTAGAATGTTTGGAGAGTGTGCACCAGACCTTGGGTTCTATCCTTAGAACCATCCTCCTTTAAATAAAAAAGTAGAGACAGAATCCCAGCACTCGGGAGGCAGAGGCAGGCAGATCTCTGTGAGTTTGAGACCAGCCTGGTTTACAAGAGCTAGTTCTAGGTCAGGCTCCAAAGCCACAGAGAAACCCTGTCTAAAAACCAAAAAAAAAAAAAAAAAAAAAAAAAAAAAAGGTAGAGACAGGTGTATCTGTGAGTTTGAGGCCAGCCTTGTCTGCAGAGCGAATTCCAGGACAGGCTCCAAAAGCTACAGAGAAACCCTGTCATAAAACCAAAAATTAAAAAGTAAATTAAAAAGGTTTATTTCCAAAAAGCACACATAAAGATTTACATGAATGAGTATCCTAATTGTTCTTAGGCTGGTGAACAAAACATCAGATAAAAATTAAAGTTTTGATTATATTAGTGTCCCATTGCCTTTTAGTTAATGTTCTGTGTGGGAAGAGACTTAGGTTTCAGGAAGGCTCAATGCTTGCCCTGTTTCTTTTTCAATCAGAATTGTATGCTCAGTTGGTTGTTCCAACTGTCTTTGTATAACTGACTATAATCTGTTGTTAGTTTATTAGACTCCCAAGAAAGTTTTGTGAGAATGAGATTCATAGCTCATCAAGGCACTAGGTGAGGTGTGTGTTCTTTGTGTTAGTCACAAGAAGGCAGAAGACTGGGTGGCATGTAGGGTGGTAATGCAGTAACTTGGAAGTAACTAGGAAGCACTTTAAACTTACCCTGAGGATGACATCATAGCTGCTCTGAAGGCCCATGATCAGACTTGTATCTTGGCAGACCACACCAAAGTAGAGATGGCCATTATTGCCAACTATTATTACTGAATCATTCTGTCACCTGATATAATTCAGTATCCTGAAACCTTCAAACATTGCATCTGTCTGGCTTGATATTTTCAGTAAATTTTAATAATATCTTTGTGTCTTTTGGGTGTTTCACTCCTCCCACCCTCCTACCTCTAGCCCAGCTGACCTTGAACTCCTGATTCTCTCGCCTCCACCTGAAAGCTGGGGTTATAGGCCAGTCAAGTCCTGATTTGTAACTTTTTAAAACTTTGTGTCTAAAGCATTATTTACTTGTGAGAGAGAGCACACACAAACCCATGCATGAAAGTGGAGGTCAGGGTTGATCTCTCCACCATGTAGGTCTTCGGCTTGCTCTTACGGGCTGAGCCATCCAAACTGGCCTGGTTCGTAACATCTCTTTAGCTCTGAGTATTCTCCACTTATTTGTACACCACATCAAGCACTGTGACATCACTTTAGTGGCTTTGTAGTCTGTTATAAACTTGTCTGACTGTGTAGCACAGACTGACCTCAATTCGAAGCAGTTCTTCCTTAGCCGCCTAGGATTACAGATATGAGCCATTGCACCTAGATTCTGTATTTTCTTATTAAATGATTAACTTAGAAATTACCATACCTGGGGCTGGAGAGATGGCTCAGTGGTTAAGAGCCCTGACTGCTCTTCCAAAGGTCCTGAGTTCAATTCCCAGCACCCACATGGTGGCTCACAACCAACTGTAATGAGATTTGGTGCCCTCTCTGGCCTGCAGGCAGATATGCAGGCAAAACACTGTATACATAATAAATAAATAAATAAATAAATCTTAAAAAAAAAGAAATTACCATACCTGCCTTTGCTCACAGCACTCGGGAAGCAGAGATAAGTGAGTCTCTGGTGAAAAAAAGGAAGAAAAGAAAAAAATATTTATTGTTGGTTTCCATTTATTCCCTACTCCAACACTAGAAGTTACCTCCTCAGACTTCCTGAATGGACATCCATTGAGTTCTGTTTGTGGGTGTTTTCATATACTCAACTGTGCGTGGAAGTCAGAAGATAACTTGTAGGAGTCAGTTCTCTATTTCCATCATCTGGAAATGTAGCTCTGTTGGTAGCTCTGTTGGTGTTCAGCGTGCATAAAATCCTGAGTTCAGCTCCCAGCACTGCATAAATTGAGCGGCCCGTGATGCCTCTAATCCCAGAACTGGAAGGGTGGAGGCAGGAGGATCAGAAGTGTAATGTTACCTCTGGGGCTAACCTGGGATACAAGGCACTCTTGATCTAAGGGAAAAAAAGAAATGGAGGAATGTGAGTGAAAATTCTACAGGTTCAGCAAAGCCTAGATTTCTTTGCTGAAATGTTGTAAAGGTGGCTACAGCTTTTGAAGCATTGTGTTGAATTCTTATTGAATGCCTTGATTCAAGGGACAATGTGATAAAAAACTTTCCTGTAGCTCTTTTTGTTGTCACTTATTTTTTTGTGTGTTTGTATATACTTGTGGGTGTCTGAGCCATCGTGTGGATGTGTAGGTCCGGCAGTCTGCTGTCGTTCTCTGATGACATAGTGATTCCCTGGGATCATACTTAGGTTGACAGGCTTGGTTTGAGCACTTCACCTGCTGAGCCATTGTTGACCTGATTATAGCTCTTGAAAGAAAAAAAATAGTAAATTAAGGCAAGCAAAGGTGATCTCTTTCTGCTTTTCTGTATTCACTATTGACCTCTAGGTTTGCAAATGAGCCAAAAGGAAGAACACTGAGTGTTCAAATGGCTCCATCACCAGAGGTTGACAGTTAAGTTGTTGCCGCCCCCTTTTGGACACTATTATAACTCCAACAAAGGTAGTGCAAGTATCTGCATAATAAATACTTTCCACC